GGAAGGCTCAGGAAACTTCTCAGAAGGCCGTGGGACTTCCGAGCCTTCTGAGAAGGCCCTCCCCTTCTCGCTTCCCCCCAGGGCTTGCCGCTGGATCGAGCAACAGAAAGCAGCACAGACTTGCTCGAACTTTTCGGAGTCCCGCGCGGACGTCTCGGTTTGGCGCCGGGCGACCCCTCTTGGCGGCGCCTCTGGCGCGCGCTCCGCGCGCCTGGGAGGCCAGTGCCGACCCAGAAATCCGCGCCGACCTCCGAACGTGTGTGCGGGCATGTGCAGTTGTTTGTTCTTCTGTCCTCCCTCGTCGCTGCTTCCTCGTTCTTGCTCCCTGCCGTCTGCTCCCTCCTTTCCCCCCCCCCCCTGGTTCCCCCCTCGGCCCCCCTGCCTCGGTCCCTCTCCTCCCCTGTCCTTCCTCCGCCTCCCCCCGCCTCCCCCCGTCGCTCGTCCATTTCCTCCTCCCTCTACCCTCCCTTCTCCGACGCTCTGCCAACCACACCAGGCTGACGACCCATGCCTCCCTCCTCCCTCCGCCCCCCCCTCTTCGGCTCTCTTTTGTCCTTTCCTCCGCCTCTCGTGCGCCTCGGGGCGAACAACGCGTCTGACCCCCGCTCTGCGGGCTATGACTTCACTGTTTCGGTTCCTCCCTCGTCGTGATCGTCGCCCTCCTCCTCCCTGTCCTCTTTCACGTTCTCTCAGCTGCGCGCTGCGCGAGGCAAGCTGGGGGATGCAGGCTTGCTCTATCGAGTAGTGGTTTCGTCGTGTGCGGGGGGGGAGCGCTGACATTTCTAAGTGCTATCACCGTTTCCATGGCCGGCAGGATCAGGACTGGACCCAAGTCGCTCAGAGGCGACGCCAGTGGGGAGGCTGTGTGCAGGCTCCCGCATGAGCGCCCGGGCGTGCGGCGCCGCAGCGCACTTCTGCAGCGCACCTTCCAAACAGGCACGCAGAGTGGTGGAGTCCATCTCGTGTGTATACCGGAGATCAAGCAAGCACCCTCGTCGGCGTCTTCATACCCAGCCATCAGTCGCCTCCGTCGGATGCTTGCTTCTGTCCAGCCTGTGGGGCCACCATCGCCGTCGTCGTGACCGCCGTCCTCGCCCCGGCTCGTGCTCGTGCTCGCCGCCCCACGCCGCCGCAATTGCCTTCGTGCTCGTCGTCGTCGTCCTCCTTTTCTTTGCACTCGTCGCCGTCGTCATGATCACCACCACCATCAACATCACAATCATCCCCATCGCCATCACCCAACATCACCACCACCACCACCACCATCACCATTACCATTACCGTCACCGTCATCATCAGCATTGCTGCCACCATCAGCATCGTCGCCATCATCACCATCATCAGCAGCATCATCATCAGCCCCATCACCCAATCATCATAATCATCAACATCATCATCATCATCATCATCATCATCGTCATCATCATCATCATCATCGTCATCATCATCAGCATCATCATCAACATCAGCATCATCATCATCAGCACCCAACATCACCGCCACCACCGCCGCCACCACCACCACAACTATCATCATCATCATCGACCGTGGCTACATGCATCTGTGTTTGTTTCACTGATTTCTAATTGGAATGAAGTTACGCGGATTTGCACACAGGTGGACGAGTGCACTGATGTATAGAGAACGTCACGCTCGATATTGCCAAGCATACGGGTCGTCCATCCATCCCTGTCGAATTGTACCCGAGAGTTCGAAGGTTCTGGAATGAGGGCCTGATGAGTCACTCCGATGTTTGGTACCGAGCCGCTTTCCTTGCCGCTACCAACCTTGCCCCATTCATTGCTTTCTCCCTTTAAATTGATATGTAATGCATGGCCCACGTCGGCCCGGTGTCGTTCTGGGAATCTGTGCTTCGTGATGGTGTGCGGAGCCGATGATTCCGACCACATTCTATACTATTTTCAATGCCCCGTTCTGCTGCCATGTTGTCTACGATCATCCCACCTCTGCCGCCTGATTTCCTCGAGTGTATTGCCATATATAGATTGCTTCTGAGACCTCTGTTGCCCTCAAGTAGAGCCCTTCACTGAACCATTCTGATGCATGACCTCGTTCTCACTACGTACAGTTCCGTTCGATCTCTGCCCCTTCTGGCCAACAACGCCAGCAGGGTGGAAGCTTTGACGTGGGCAAGGGCACGAGCGATAGCCAAACGCAAGCTGGCCATCAGGGAGGCTCTGACCCCGAGACCCGTCCCCCCCTACGGAACCTACCATCATCAGCATCATCATCACCATCACCATCACCATCACCATCACCATCATCATCATCATCATCATCATCATCATCATCATCATCATCATCATCATCATCATCATCATCATCATCATCATCATCTTCATCATCATCATCATCATCATCACCATCATCATTCATCATCCTCATCATCATCACCATCATCATCATCATCATCGTCACCATCACCATCACCATCACCATCACCATCACCATCACCATTACCATCATTCATCATCGTCGTCATCATCATAGCCATTTTGGCTCAAGCATGTGCTGACTCAGAGGCCACTGCGGTGCACGTGCGCCGCCCCGCCATTTCGTTCCGCCGCGCCAGTGTTCTTGCCACTGTGATTCTCTGAGCTCGATGGTCAGCGCAGTTCGCCTTAGCTGGATTGTTGAACATTTTGCTCTTGGTAGAAGGTGCCGGGTGCGGATTAATACGCATCGTGATCGTGTGCTTGTCCATTTGAGGTGTTTCTTCCTCTCGGTGATGAAGTGAGCGCGCTCAACTTGTTATGACCTTGGTTGCGCAATCGATGCTGCAGTCAGACTGCAGCATCGAGACTGTCTCGTGGTGAGCTCGCGTGGTTGATCATGGCCATCGGTCTTCAGAGGGTTTATCACATATTACTTTCAGCATGAGGAGTCTGCTGAAACCTTTGCTGCACAATTCTGATGTTCTTCCTGCTCGTGCGCGTACTCTGCGTGTTTCTGGAGATCCTGAAGGTCATGGCGGTGATGGCGGTCCTGGAGGCAGAGTTCCTCGTGACGACGTCCGAGATGCTGCTGTTTTTTTTGGCCCGGCGGGGGTTGGTGGCTTTGTTGTCGCTGGAGGTGCTCAAGTTGCCAGCGCTGCTCTCCGAGATTGGCCTGGTTCTCCTGACGCAGCTGCTCGTCTTCGTGGAGGTGCTGGGGCTGCTCTTCCTCCCCGCGATGCTGCTGACGATCGTGAAGCCTCTGACGTTCGTGATGGGCTCTCGTGGAGCTGCTCACGTTTGTGGAGCTGCTCATGCTCGCGTTCTTCGTGAAGATTTTCGAGATGCTGCTGATCTTCCTGACCGTGTGGCGGTTTGCGGCCCTCCTGCTGCTGACGGCTCTCCAGGTGACCGCGCTGCCCTCCGAGAAAGTGCTCGTCTCCTCGATGAAGCTGCTCGCCTTCATGACGGTGCTGGGGATGCTCTCCCCCCCGGGGTGCTGATGACGATCGTGGCGCCTTTGGCGTTGGTGGAGCTGTTGGGGCTCGTGGAGCTGCCGTCGCTCGTGGAGCTGCTGACGCTCGCGTTCTTCGTGGAGAAGTTCGAGGTGCTGCTGATGTTCCTGGTCCTGCGGAGGCTTGTGGTTTTCCTGTTGATTGCGGCCCTCGAGATGACCGCGCTTCTCTGCGTGACTGGCCTGGTCTTCCTGATGCTGCCGCTCGTCTTCGTGAAGGTGGGGGCTGCTCTCCATTCCCGTGGGGCTGCTGAGGATCGTGAAGCTGTTGACATTCGTGGAGCCGTGGAGGTCTTGGAGCTGCCGACTTTTATGGAGCAGTTGGCGTTCGAGGAGACGCGGGCGTACGTGAAAAAGTTGCTGAGGTTCGTACTCGCCCTCGTGAGGATGGAGTTATGCGTGCTTGCCCTTCGGAAGGTGCTGATCACCGACTTGTCGCTTTTCACGGTGGTGGTGCTGTTCCTGCTTGTGGGAGCGCTGGGGGTTCTGATGCTCTAACGGCGCCCCCGCCTCGCAAGAAGGCGCGTGGCGAGGACAACGAGGATCATGGTGGTGGTTCGGAGCTCCCTGCAGGTGTTTCGTGCTGACGCTTTTCCTATTCTTGCCATGTCGAGTGCTGGTCCGTTTGATTTCGTGAGAGGGCCGGTGCCTCCAGATATCAGGGTAGAAGACAGCCATTAATCTATTCATGCGCAAGCCGTGCACGGCCGATACAGTGATGGCTTCATTCGATTCTCTAGCAAGCTATTTTGAAGGCAAGCTTGGTACCTGGAGCCAACACTTCTGCAATTCATTTCGGCTCCCGAAGCTTGCCTGGCCACTTTTGTATTCTAAGGCTCGAGCGTTTCATGCGCAACTTGAAGGAGCTTGTCGTCTGGCGGTGGCCGCTACGGAGGTACTCAGAGTTCAAAGAACGCATCATCACCCTCATCCTCCTCATCCTCATCCTCATCCTCATCGTCGTCGTCATCCTCATCACCAACCCCATCATCATCATTATTACCGTCATCGTGATCATCACTATGACCATCGTCAACGTCTTCTTCAGCATCACTACCTTCATCATTATCATCAGCATCCGCGTCCTCGTTGCCGTCGTCGTTGTCATTCAGACTGTCATCCTCATCATCACCATCATCATCAGCACCACCATTATCACCATCAGTATCCTCATCGTCATCGCAACCATCGTCATCGCCATCATCATCATCGTCGTCATCGTCATCCTCGTCACCATCATCGTAAGCATCGTCGTCAGCATCGCCATCAGCATTGTCATCGCCATAGTCGTCGCCATCGTCGTCGTCATCGCCATCGCCATCGCCATCGCCGTCGTCGTCGTCGTCGTCGTCGTCGCTGCCGCCGCCGCCGCCGCCTTCGGACTCGCCGCCCCCGTCGTGCCCGCCGCCCCACGGCCGGCAGCCGGCCGCCAGGAGCTCGAACGCCTCGTCGGCGTGGCCGAGGCCGGCGCCGAGCGGCTCAAGGAGAGCGGCGGGCCCCCGCCCGTTTGGGGCATCTGGCGCGCAGGGCGGGGCTTCCGCCGCTTCCCCGTGATCCGCGGCGTGAAGAAGAGTATCAAGCAGTGGCGAAGCGTCCTGGATCGCCTATAGGCCCATTCAAAAAATGTTCCAATGGCCTTTTCCAGTGTGCGCGAAATGCTCTTAGAACGTTTTTGCAACGCTGCCTCGTCGGCCCATCCTTCGCCACTGTCGCTGGCCACGCCCGTTTTGAAAAGCTTCGGCATGGCCTTCCAAGGCCCCTGCGTCCTTATCGCGCATCCGTACTATACGGGTTGAGTGTAGGTGCAGACGAATAGGGTTTTCTGCATTTAACCAGTCTTGAACTTATTATTCATCTTGCTTTTATTCTTGATGTTTCCCAAAAGAGCCAAGGAACACCACACGAGTCATGATGATAAGTGACGGTACGCACGCAACCGTCCTGAGGTTCGCGCGCGGATTCCTGGATCCAGCGCCGCCAGGGAGGCCCAGCGCCGATCCAGTAATTCCGAGTGGAGGGCCGAACAGTTATGTTTATGCAGTGTCCTGTTCTTCGAATGATCCGCGGCGCGCACAAGGGTGCGGCGCCCAACTGGGATCGAAACGGATGGGGCTGGGCCATTGCGCCGCATCGCCGACATGTCGGCGAGGCGGCTCAGCGTGGAGTGGAGCCTGAGATTTTGTTTCTACGTCGACGTCTCCCATGCACTGTCGACGTCGCCGGTGCATCGCCACCGCATCGGCGACGCATTGGCGATGCAATACGACCCTGTGGCCCCCTCGGCTTCGCGCAAGTGGGTGGCGCGAGGGGGCCGGGCTGCTGAGAGGGCGGGGGGCTTCCGAGATGGTAGGGGGGCCCTCTGAAAAGGGCCCGCCCGGCCTTTCGGGCTCCTTGCCCTCCTGGTCGTAGTCAGCGTCGTCTTCGTCGTCGTCGTCGTCGTCGTCGCCGTCGTTGTCGTCGTCGTCGTCGTCGTCGTCGTCGTCGTTGTCCCCAAGCCTGAACGTATCCCCCCCGCAATACGTAGTCATGAAACATACAAATAGTCAAACAACATTCCAAACGATCGCAAATGCTCAGGAAATCGTTCCCACAATTTGTTTGATAGCTTTTAATATTCCTCCTGTAGAGGGACACGCCCGACTTAATGGTAGCCCTGCCTTTCTCTTGGAAGCACCCCCGCCTTCGTATGATGCCCCCCCTCCCCTCGCGCAGCCCCCCACCTTGTGCGCGCCGCCAGCATGAGGGGGTCCAGAAGTAAACGCCCACAACCTGCTGCGCCTTCATGTCGCCCTGCCCTTCCCCAGACCTCCTCCCTCCATCAGGCGATCGCAAGCATGGATTGAGGGGGAAACCATGCTTGCGCGCCCCCGACTCCAGGGCGTGCTTTCCTTTCCTCCTCCAGGCCGAGCAGGGATCGAACGCGGACCGCGCCACAGACTGCAGCTCCGTGGGCCCCAGCAGCTTTGCGAAGTGGAGGGCTGGCGCCCGGGACCGGCACGCAGGCGCCGCGGCCGGGCGGCTGCTGGACACCTCTCGACCGCCGGAGGTACGCCAGGGCCTCCTCGGTGGCCCCCTGCGGCTTCCGCTGTGGCCTCGGGGGCCCCCGACGGCGTGGAGACCACACCGCTTGGTGAGTCAGTGGGGACTCGGGGCCACCGCACGGATTCTTGGGACTCGGGTCCTTCTCCCAGGACGTCTCGGGCGACTGGAGCCTCCGAGGTCTCGAGACCAGGCGGTGACGGACCGCGTGGTGAGGTCTCCTTTTGAGACTTCGCAGTCGCTGCGCGGTCCGTCACCACACGGTCCCATGACCCCCAGGTTTACCAGTTTGAAACATATCCCTATCCCTATGTTTGCCATCACCTCACCTCGATGCCGATCTCAAGGATTCCCTCAGTTTCCGAGGGCCTATCCCGAAGACTGTCCTCGCTTTCTGCTCGCCCACCTTAGGGATGGGGATACGTTCGAGGCTGGTTACAGGTGGCCTGCTCCCGCTCGAGGAGCCACTGCGCTGCCTCGTGCTCTGGCTCGGCTGCCTCGCCCACGGCCTGGGGGTCGGGCTGCGGCCCGCGGCTTCGACGGGCTTCCGGGCGGCGCTCGTGAGAGCTCCCGGGCGCCCCGAGGGCTCCGCTCCTCGGGGGGCCCCCCGCCTGCCCCCCGGAGCTGGTGCCTTCTCCCGTGCCCGACGCGGGCTCGGTGCGGGCTCGACGCGGATTCGGCGTGGACTCGACGCGGACTCGGCACGGATTCGGCACAGCTCCGACGAGGCCGACACGGATTCGACACGGATTCGACACGGATGCGACGCGGATAGGACCGCGACGGAACAGACAAGGTCGCCCGAGGATGCAACGGAAGGGTGCCTCCGTGGACGTGCCGGGCTGCGAGCTCGATGGCCAGGAGCATCTCGACGGCGCTGGGCGCTGGGCGCTGGAGGGGCGGCGACCTCAGGTAGGCCCTCAGGCCCGCGCCTGGGGCCCACCCGGCCACGAGACCCGGCTGTCGGCGTCGGCGCCGCAGTCGCGTGCCGCGCATCCCCTCGCAGGGTGTTCGCTCACGGCGCCTTGGTGAGCTCGAGAGAGAGCTCTTCTGGGCCTCCTAGATTGGGTCCGGGTAGATGAGGTCGGAGGATCGCGCCGCACCGCCGATGCATCGCCGATGCGGCTCGATGTGGGGCCCGATTTGCTTCACGTCGACGTCGCCGATGCATCGCCCACGTCGACGGTGCATCGCTGGTGCATCGCTGGTGCATCGCTGATGCATCGCCGATGCATCGCCGATGTATCGGCGATGCGGCTCGATCCGCCGATCCCATCTACTCCGACCTCATCTGGGAGGTCTCTAGCAGTCGTGTGCTGCCCATCCCCTCGCAGGGTGTTCGCTCACGTCACCTTCGGTGCTCGAGAGAGAGCTCTGCCGCAGCTGCAGCACGCAGGCTTCCCCTTCCACGTCTGCCTGTACTGACAACCGGTTCACCACCGGGCGTGCGCAGTGCCCTGCTCCATGCTGCAAAGGACGCCGTGCCTCACGTTGCCGAAGCTGGCGAAGGGAGCCTGCACTGGTTCGGATGCACCCGCGGGAGGTCAAATTCTGACGGTGCCCTGGTCCGAAACCCAGTTTCATCGGGCTTAATCCTACTTGATCCAGATCAGTCCCGCTTTATCCAGCTTCATCCCGCTGATTCCGCGGCCTGATCCGGCGCAGCAGGCCTCCCTAATGGGCCATGGGGTTTACTATTCTTTAATTCTTATTGCGAAGATCTCCTAGCAGTTGCCTCCTATCTCTGCTGCTGGCATATAGGAGCGAAACGGCAATTGTCACCGCCGAGCGCGGAGACCCCCACTGGAAGCTATCGAAGAGTGTGCTCGGAGCAGACCCGTCCACGGCGGATGTACGAGGGCGAAGCCCTTCCTGCATGAAGCCTTGAGCCGAACTGGCCATGGATGAGAAACAGGCGGATGATGATGATGATGATGATGATGATGATGATGATGATGATGATGATGATGATGATGATGATGATGTTGATGCTGATGCTGATGCTGATGCTGATGCTGATGCTGATGATGATGCTGATGCTGATGATGCTGATGATGTTGATGATGTTGATGCTGATGATGCTGATGATGCTGATGATGCTGATGATGCTGATTATGATTATGATGATGATGATGATGAAGATGATGATGACGATGATGATGATGATGATGATGATGATGCTGATGATGATGCTGATGCTGATGCTGATGCTGATGCTGATGATGATGCCGATGCTGATGATGCTGATGATGTTGATGATGTTGATGCTGATGATGCTGATGATGCTGATGATGCTGATGATGCTGATGATGCTGATTATGATGATGATGATGAAGATGATGATGACGATGACGATGATGATGATGATGATGATGATGATGATGATGATGATGATGATGACGATGATGTTGATGCTGATGCTGATGCTGATGCTGATGATGATGATGATGATGATGATGATGATGAGGATGAGGATGATGAGGATGATGAGGAGGAGGAGGAGGCCGATGGGCAGGACGAGAACAGTGAACGCGCCTAAGAAGGACGCGCGCCTTTATCTAGGGTGCCCTGGTGTCCTTGTCTCTGCGGCCCCGTCCTTTGCCGTTTTCACCAGTCGCCCGCTGCCCAAAAAGTCCCGCTTTTGGTTTCCAAGGGTCTTGCGTCCTTGCCACCCGTCCTTAATACACGTTTTCACTGTAGGACATCCGCGGTAGAGATGATGGTGTTGACGATGACGGCGAGTATCACGCGCGTTCCCGTCGAGGAGCTTGCGGCGCCGCTCGGCTCCGACGCTCCCGGCTCCGCGTCGCTCGGTGTCGCCGACGTCGAGAATGCCGCCAGAGACGTCGAGGAGGTTCGCCCGTGTCCGCTGCTGCCGCGCACCCCTCCCATCTTTGTCAGAGGAGGAAGCTCGCACCGATACCGC